AGAGAGCTCTACGGATCGCCAGCAATTGGCAAGCCGCTATTTCCCACATTGATGGCGATCCGTAGAGCTCTCTCTCGCGCACAGAATGCTGCAATTAAAGCCAAACAAGACTTTTGAAAAGCAGCATAATAAGAACCGTGCAGGTCGCATACTATTAGGCAATAAAATAAATATGGGTACTGCAAATAGGAGAAGCCTCTATTTCGTCTTATCGGTGGAACGCGTCGAAGTCCCTTGCAACAATGCGTTGTTAGCAGAAAAGGCAATATATTTACTATTTTAAAATAAAACTAACGTGCATGAAATTGACCCGTTTTCGTTCAGAGGAAATAATCAATAAAATAGCGGTCCTCGCTGTTGTGACATAACAATGATTTACCTAACCGAAGAGTCGTATACAAATCTGAATACGGATGACTAAACTGATTTGAATAATTAGTTTCATTACACAGATCAATAAGCCAAAGTTGGAAAACGTGTACTGTGTCTCACGTTAAAGATCTCTGGCTGACCTAGAGTGTGGGGATTTTTCCAACAGCGTCATATGATTGAACACAGGAAAGAGATAACCACACCACTCACCTGTTTGAAACTTGAAATTTCTCACTTCTGGGAACTGCAACAGGACACAAACGCGCTCGAAATCGGTCTTGCATTGGGTGAATTCTCTTGGCCAAAGGAACTTCTCGTCATACTGTGCCGTTGTGTAATAGTCTTCCCAACTTTTCATAACCGCTTCAATAACAATGTTGCAGAATGATCCGAAATCCGGATGAGTTCTTTGCCATGGCAGATTATGTGTGCTCATTCTTGTTGTACAAAGTTGAAGCTGTACCCTTCTGATGGCTACGAAAGAATATGTTGGAAACGCACAGTAAATTTGTGCCTAATAGTACCAGACTACAAAGTTGACAGAAGAGTGCAATTAATAAGGCAATCTACAATCATGGGCTTTTTAAATCTAAAGCCATAGCCATCAATCAGGCATAACCCATGAATGACGTTGGGCAATTTCTCAAAATGTCAGGAGGCATTTGGATATAGGGAAACTGTGTCAGATCCTATCAATAATTCACATTCTATGTATTATCGAA